GCTGCTGAAATTGATACACCACATTATATTGTATCATGTGCTTCAATGGAAGTAAATGCTGCTGCAGTGGTGAAGCTCCCCTCAGTATCAAATATGAAAAGAACCATACGTAATATACGCGCAAGGGAAAATGCTGGACCTGCTTTGCCTAATAGCTACCTCAATCTTAACATCCCAGAAGAGTTTACCAAAACCATCAAAGGAGATTTATTCCTTATTTATGACTCTTGTCCAACAAATGATCGTATTTTAATTTTTGCAACCCAAAGCAATCTCAATATCTTAGTACGTTGTATTATTTTTTCTTATAGTAAATATTAGAAACAATGTAGTTTTATTTTTTTTTAACCACAGGTTTCGAGCAAACTGCCTTTCGAGCAATTGATAGTTCGAGAAATTATTTTTTGAGCAATTGATTTCGAGCAATTTACCAGATACCAAATCTACAGAAACTGTATTTAACATTTCTATATAAAAATAATATATCTTATTTTCATATTGTTATGTTTAAGTATATTGAAAATTTAGCTCATTTTATATAATCTTTTTTATTATTGCAATACTATAAAATCTTAATCTGGAAACAATGTCCCTAAGCAAGTCTAAATCTGTTGAAAATGTAGCATATTTTCTTATTTCTAAATAAAATATTCTTAATCTGGTGAAAATATAGCTTTTTTTTCATTTCTTAATAAAAATGCCAAAATCTGGTTAAAAGTGAGCATATTTTCTTATTTTGAAATAAAAACAGTTTAAATATGGTGAAAATGTATTTGTATATCTGGAGAAATGTATTTGATCATATTTCAAATATTAAACATTTAAATATGAAGGAATATAGCTTTTTTCACATTACTATATTATGAAGTTTAAATCTGTAGCAAATATAACAGATTTTCATATGCCTAAATAGAATAGTCTAAATATGGTGAATACGTAACTTATTTTTTTATTTATAAATAAAAAAAATCTGAATCTGGAGAAAATGCAGTTCTTTTTCATATTTGAAAATATAAAAATTCTAAATGTGGCAAATGTAGCTTTTTCATATTTTAAATTGTAAATTTGGAGAAAATGTACCTAATTTTCATATTTAAAAACAAATTGTTTAAATCTGTTGAAAATGTAGTTTATTTTCCTATTTCTATATAAAACATTTAAATTTGTGGAAAATGTAAGTCATTTTCAAATTTCTAATTAAAAAAGTATAAACCTGGAAAATATATAGCTTATTTTCTTAATAATATGTCTTAATCTTGAGAAAATGTAGATTGGTTTATTTCTTAATAAAAAATGTCTAGATAATGAGAAAATGTAACTTAATATTTATTAACTTATTTTAGTATTTCTAAATAAAAAATATCTTAACCTTAAGAAAATTTTGCTTATTTTAACATTTCTAAATAAATAAAGTGTATATCTGTAGAAGATATAGCTTATTTCTCAAAAATCTAAATCTTGTGAAAATATAGCTTATATTCATATTTCTGTATAAAAATTCTTATTCAAATATGACTTATTTTCTTGTTTCTAAATGAAAAAGTAAGTATTAATAAAATATATCTTATTTTCATATTTCTAAATAAAAAGTCTCAGTTTGTTGAAAATGTAGCTTATATTATATTTCTGAATAAAAAGTCTAAAATTATGAAAAATATAACATATTCTCATATTTCTAGATATAAAAGTTTCAAACATATGAAATTAATTTTTTGATTTCTAAATAAAAAATTTAAAAATCTGATGTGAGTGGAGCTGAATTCATATTTGTAAATAAATAAAATTTGAATATAAAAAAGTAGTTTGTTTTCATCTTTCTAAATAAAAAAGTAAAAACCTGTTGTGAGTGGAGGTGATTACCATATATTTTTTTAAAAAATGTCTAAATATAGAGATTTTAAAAATGTAGCTTATTTTATTTTTCTAAAGAAAAAAAGAAATCAAAAATTTCTTATTTATAAAAAAATAAAATTTAAGTAATAAATATGAAATTTTTTTATTTCAGGCCAATGGCTTTAACTGTGAAACCCCACTCATAAACATATTCAAGCCACCACATTTGAACATGATGCAATGGAAATTTGCTTGCTTGGCAATCTACTATGGTTACTTGTTTTAATTCTGACTGTGGCTGCTAAAAAGAAAAATAGAAAAAAATATCAATCAAGTGGGCATGAATAAAAGGATTTTATGCTTTCAATCATTTGTTTTTTTTATTCTTAAATTTGGTTCCAGCATACTTTTTTGCACAAACAAAATGCCTTAGACTTTGCACTTAAATAAAAGTTTTTATTTTTGGTCCTGATTTTTTTCAGGGTCCCCTGTCCTTATCAGGGTTGTTGGCCTATAGTAAAGATTTGACCACTTCTTTCTGTACTGTCACTGCCTCAAGTTTTACTTATCACAATCCTTCTTTCATTTCATTATCACAGTTTCATTGGGCAGTGGTCATGTCATCAATTATAATGTTGATGATTGGTAGTTATCCCAAGGGTCCTATCCTTGTCCCCAGCACCAATTATAACAGTACACTTCCAAGTTATTTGGTCATTACCCCTTTGTCCCTTTGTATGTATGCTGACTTTGTAATTTGAATCAGCTGATGAAGATTTTAGCTGGAACATCTTTGTGCCACAAGGGTGCTGTATACAAATACAACAGTAACAATGACCCTTCTAAATAATTGGAAAATGGAAGCTAAACAATAACAACAAGGTTTATTAATGGCAAGTTTACAGAAGCAATTGAACACTGGCTGTTCATTTTAAGAATGTTCACAGGTTTTCAACCAGGATATGCTCTACATATATGTAGTGAAGAGAAGGGAAGGAATCTTCTGTCATGGGAATGAAACAGCATGTTCACGCCACTTCTGATCTCAGGACAGCCACTAAACTCTTTCTCTAACTACTAACTTGAAATATTCAGCAAGTGTTTCTATTGTTTCTATAGGAAAATATCAGTATTGCTCATATCATATCAACACGAACCCCTTTCTTTCAGTTCAGTAAAAATATATTTTACGCCTTTGAAAGTATTAAGCAATTATAATATATATTTTTTTTCTTTTAGACATGTGATTATATGATCTATTCATAACATTTGAGATTTCAAATGTTTTATAGTTTCTTTTTGATTTTATAAACTAAAGCAAAAATTCGAGTTTTTCATACTGCAAAACAACATTTTTCTAAAATTTAAATAATAATTTTAAGATTACAGAAAACAATTGATAAAAACGATTGTGTGTGTCTGGAATCTTTGGTTAAAAATGACTATATACTCATTTTTCAACCAAGTTTTTTTTATCTTTCTATAAAAGAAAACCATGCCAAAGCCATATCATTGAAAGAAAAAAAGAAATTTAAAGTTTTTTTTGTAGAAGTTGAGTCTTTTGAAGATTAATGCATGAAAATTTACTGTAATCAAGAAACTAATTCAATGTTTATGAAACTACTTATTTAAGAAACTTAAATGAATAAATAATTCATAAAATTTAATTTACTTCAATCAAGGTAGATTGAAATTGAAACATCAGAAAATCTGACATTCTAAATTCTATGAAAAAGAAAAAACTTTTGTGCTTATAATGTTACAGAAATAATGTAATGAGATATCACTTAATGTAAACTCGGGATTGCATATATTTGAGATACAAAGTTTTTAGTTTGAACAGATGATAAACTTTTCACAAAAGTGTGATATCTAATGATATATAAATAATTAATTCTCCAGCTAACATACAGAGATAGTTAGATAGACCCTGAAAACACAAGAGTATACTAGAAATGTTTAATTAAATTGCATTGAATAAAAGTCAAAAAATAAAAACTGATAGAATATTATGATGATTTCAATAAAAATCATTTTCTAAGTATTTTCTAAACAAAAATCTCCAACTTTGACAGCCTTCTTCATTTCACATTTTATACTCTCATGAAGCTACTGGTATGTTACTAAGAAAATTGATTCACTATATTGTACCAGATAATTTTTCTTGCCACAATCCATTTTGCACATTTATAAATCTGTTATTATTTCTATCATATCTGGTCTGGTATATATTGCAAGATCTTTGACAAAAATTAAAAGAAGGGCCTGTAATGTTATTGATCTTGACCTGATATCTTTATTTTGACCAGCTTCTGATCACTGTGATGTGGCTTCCCCTGTCTTTGCTATAAATATTTTTATGGCAGTTGTTCCTGATAGCTCAACCACATAAATTTAACTGTACTACTAGATTGGCAACTGGGTCTTATCATGAAAATAGCTAGATGTCAATGTAAGTTCTATTCTAATAGAACTTACAGTGACATCTAGTTATAATAATTCTATTTTCTTGCACTTCTCACCTGCGGAATTCTCTTCTAGTTTCTTGCTTCCCTGTCACCTACAATCTTCAAAAATTTTTAAATTAACATCAATTGCCATTTTCATTTTTTTTAAAACATTTTCTTTTATTGTTCTTTCTCCTCACTAAAGTTTTCTCATTCTCTTTCAATCCCCTTTCATCTTAGTGGCATTATAACATTGCTTTGGGTGAAATGATTAAAAAAAGCAATAAAAATATGCAAAACAGTAATGTAGCAAAATTTGGCAGAGAAAGAAATTTACAAAATACACAAAATACACGGTTTATGAAAAGTAAAAGAAATATAACATTGAAATGCATGATGTAACATACACATACATACAATTTATATAATTTCTTCCACATCTTCATAGATCTCTACATTTATCAAAGAATTGCTACAAACACTCTATCCTATATTCACTATTGCATAACAGATGTTCATAGTACATAATACAGCAGAAAAACCATACAAATCTGATCTGTCTCTACTTATAAACAAGAAATACCAAACACCTGGTAAAAAGTGGGAATTTGCCAATTTTGATCTTCAGTTTTTACCTTCAAAATGAAATTGGCAAACTAAGAACACCATTTGGTTGGAACAATCAATATACAGAAGAGACTGACACTTTGAATTTGCATTTCATTCTTCATATATCATCCTAAAATAAAAAAAAAATAAGGAAGACAATATATTAAATAACTTAAACATAAAAATATTAAACTTTTTGTTGAAATAATCTGTCAAATGAATAGCAAATATTTGTATATACTTCAATAAGTTTACTGATAAAAACCTGTTGTACACAGAATGTACAGAATTATTTCCTTTCTTGTCCATGCACAATTCTTCTCCATTAATCACATAGATGAGACATTATACAGTAAATTTTTTTTCAATAATTCATTTATTAAACTGTGCTAGGCTATGAACTTATTGATGCACCTTTGTAGCTTGACATTGAAAACATGACATTTATTATTGGGTGTAGCTTGTTATACGTAAAGTTTTAACGTTGGCAATATGTTTTTGCCATTTTGCATAATATCAGGTTTTGTCATTTTTGGTCATCCATATTTTAGCTGTTCCATCAGACACTCTTCAATTTAAGTGTAATTTCATCACTTATATGTAAGAAAAAGTGACACAACACCCACTTGACATTTGGACTGGGCAGACAAATAAAACGCACCTTCTGTAAACAAATATATTCATCACTATATTTTAAATAAAAATTAGGTAATATTTGTTTAAATCCATTTATGTAATCATTAAATTGATTAATATTCATAAAATCTTATTTTTTGAAGATTTTTTTTAATCAGTTTAAATTTTTTTTATTTAGTCATTGCATAACTGATGTAATTAAAGGGCAATAATTAATATGACTAAATATTGAATTAAAAACAGTCTAAAATACATTTTAAGTACACAAAAGTAATTTTTATAAGTAAATTTATACTTTTCCATACAATAAAAATAAAAATTAAAACTTCAAAGAATTAATGCAATATGTTTTTTAAGATCTTTATTAAAAAGTTGACAATTTTTTCCTTAATAACAGAAAACCAATCAACTACATCATGTACAGAGACTAGAAACAGTCTAAAACTTACTTTAAGTATACAACAGTAATTTTTTTTTCTTTTTATACCATTTTATTTGAATTTAAGATTATGTATTCAAAATATGCAAGGTTTATCTAGTACACATTTTATTAAAAAAACAGTGTGACATCTTCTCTGTTACTAAGTAATAGACACTTGTGTGTGCGTGTGTGTGTGTTGTAAAGTAAATTTTCTTTTATTTACTTTCTTGGAACATTTTTTGTTAATTGGATGTAAAAGGTAAAAGCTGAGTTGTAGATTAAAAAATTCCTTTAACATTTACTTAGAAAATTAAGAAATATTTTTATTTAAGAAATTAAGTATCCCATTTAAAAGTTGTTAGACAAAGCAAAATTCATTTGAGAAAATGTTTTTCACTAAAAAATTGTTTTAGATACTTTTGTCTTCAGATTGTAGTTACTTATTGCCATGCATCATCTATTTTCTAAATATCTCAATGAAATTCACATAATATGAAATGTCATGTTTTTTCAACATTTTTGTTCATTGTAGTCACTATTGATATTTATCTATATTAATATATTAAGTTCTTCATGGATATTTTATCCAGTTGATGTCATCTAAATATCATTACAATTATGTAATATCATCATCATCATCAGTGCAACATTATCTCAAAGAGGCTCAAACACAGAATTTCAATTTCAGAAATCTGTTTATAACATGTACTTCAGCATATTTTGATGCTGACCTCTGTAGTGTTTATTTGTTGATAAATAAATAAAAAACTAGTCTGAGAGAGAGTTTGTCACTTCTATTCTATCTTTCAATGTTTATATACATTTTGTACAATATAAATGAATATAGTTCGCCTAACACTGTGTGTGTATGTGTGCATACATAAACATATTCAATAAACTTCACTGATTAATAAATCAGTTTTCTGGTTTAAAGTCGTGAACAAAGTTTAAGAGTGCTAATTGGTTTTGATATTATGAAATATCACTTGGAAATAATTGTATCAATCAAATTTTTATCAATAAATTTTTGGAAATAATTTTATCAATAAAATTTTTATCAATAATATTTCATGCACACTTATTTTATTTCTGTAGTGAATAAAGTCTCATAATATTGTTTAATGCCTATCAAAAGATGTGTAGCTGCCTGTTACCTTAAAGGATAGACTCCTGTATATTGTAAAGGTTATCATAGAGAATGCTATACATGCAGATCTTTTTAGAGAAGACAAGCCATACTATAAATGATAATAAGAAAGAGGTGAGTTTTCATACTTGTGGGTCAGTGGTAGAAGATTGATTAAAACATAAGGAAAATAAAAGATAAAAACAAATTTTACAACAATACTGATGATGAATATGAAATAGTAAATACATATAATATCTAATATCATTTTTCTTATTAGAATGTTTAAATATTTTGCTGCTGTGAAGATAGCAAAAAATATGCCATAGAAAAATATTCTTTTGTTCTTTTTAATAAGCATAGCCTTCAACAATTGAGCTACTTGAATGCATCTGCTGAAGGTGATGCCGATATGGAGTATTACTAGTGGATTTTGCTTGACCACTGAGGTCAAATGAAGAGCCACTATCAATGTTCTGTAGATTTGGTATATAACTTGTCATAGGTGATGTGTTTCCATGGTTACATGACATGTATTGGTTTGAGGTGAAAGAAAAGCTAGTAAAACTAACACTGTCTTTTTCAGTTGTTTTAGAAGCATTGACACCAAATGACATCGGTTGTTGGGTGTTATTTTGGTTAGTTGCATGACTGTTGCACATGTTGGTGCTTGAACTGGTATTGTTAGTGGTGTTAGGAGTGAATGCCATAGAGAAGAGAGCCTCAGGGTTGCAAACAAACTTGTAGACATACCTCTCACCGGACACTTTCTGAAGAATTCCTTTTTCATAATAATAACGTAGTGACCGACTTAATTTGTCATAATTCATGGCAGGACGATTTTTCTGAAGGCCCCACCTTCTGGCTACCTGAAAAAAGATGATATAACCATCTCAAAATTATGGACTGCATTTTAAATCAACCAAATTAAATGAAAGCTAAAGACAAAAAATGAAATTGAAATGACTCAGCTATTAATTTAGAGTCTCAGGCATACATTATTTTTCAATTGATATTTTCCTGCCTTTGATGACTTGTTACTTTGAATTCAATCAATTTAAACGTTTGTCTAATCAGTAAAATGCATTAACTTCCCATTTTTATTCATGAAATTCAACCTAGGTGCCTACAGATCTGTATTTAAATAAAAAAGTCAGTCTCCAGATCTGTATTAGAATCTCTAAAAAATTAAGATAAGATAAAGAGTATTTAGAAATATGATACCTTTTCTGTTTACCTGTTTAGAAATGATTAATCTTTTATTCACTATGATTCTCTCATTTATATACCATTACCATTCATTTATAGTACTACTAAGAGACATCCACTATACTTATTTAACATTTATCTAACACTAAATAAATGCTCTGCTTGTTGTGATTTTACCATTCTTGTATTGTAACTTTTGATGATTAAGTTATTATGTATCCAAACCTATGTTGTTTGCATCTGTCTATTACATTTTGTAATTTTATATTCAATGCTCTAATCTAGATTTTAAAGTGTTAAAATAGCTTAATTAAATATAACAAACTATTTCTTTAACATTTTATTACATTCATTGTATCTATACCTATTTTAATAAAAAGAAATTATAAAAGAAAAATTATCTAAACAAAATTTCAAGAATACAGAATGGGTTTTCTCTATTGCAGAAGTGTTACTTTAAATCTCTAAAAACTAAAAGTCTGAAACTTTAAATACATGCCATCAAAATATTATGAATATTCAGCTAAGTCAGGTAAATTCAAAGTCTTCTCTATTTTCAATAAACATTTAATATCTATGCCTTTATTATTGAAGTGAAAACTGTTCACTGGACAATGAAAAGTGAATTGATTTTGTAAGTCACTGTGAGTTCAATCTTCAATGGTGATCAAGAAAATGGCTGTGTGTGAAGCATGTCAATTTTAAGTTAATCTATACTTATAAAGTAGAAGCTTTTTAACTATGATTAAAAGCTAATAATGTAAGAAATAAGTATTGAAAAATAATAGGCCTAAAAATCTGTAGCTGAAAACTAGATGCACTCCAAGTCATGCCATTAGATTTAGAACTATAATAGCTTGCTATGTTAGGTAGAGACTTTAAAATTAATATACATGTATATAATAAATATGAATTTCATTTTCACAATTGTAATTATAAACTCAATTTACAATTTGTTTTTGTCAATGTATTTGGAATATAACTTCAAAATGGCAGCTACTCTAGAAACATGAAGAAAACAAAGAATGTTTGATGTAATTTTTGTTATGATAATTTCTCATCTCAAAAATTCCATCACAAATGATTAGATCAGTATGGATCTGACATGATACATCAATAGAAACAATTGGAAAAAAACAAAAAAACTGAAATGAATAATAAACCATCTCACATTCTCCTGTAGATGTAGAAAGCTTAAGCTAATTCTAACAAACTTTACTATTTGAATTCCAGAATGATACAAATGATTGTGCAAAGAGCAGAACATTCTCTGGTTATGGAAAGAATCTTTCATAACTGATGGATGAAACAACAATCACAATTACTATCTAATCAGATGGAACCATTCCAAAAATGGAGAACTTGAACTGGACAAGACATTCCATGAAATTGAGAGAGTCAAGACACATCAAATACAGAATCTACAGCAGTTGAAATTTTTTTTTCTCGAGAATTGATAACAAAAATTTAAATACTATTTTTGGAAAGAAACAGTTTAATAAATAAATAGTATTTAACATTTTTGTTGTCAGTTCTTGAGAAAAAAAGTCTAAACCCAGATGTTATTTTAGTGAATTTATGTGGTAAGAGTAAATGAAAGAAATGTCTGGAAAATGCATTTTTCAAAATTTATAATGATATTTACTTGATATTACAGGTTTATTTAAATTTTCTTTGTCCACTTGTTTGCGCTCATTTTTATAAATTTATGAGTAAAAAAATTTCTCTTCATAATTATTTCTTTATATAATATACTAAATAATAAATATTGCATTGTAGTTGGTTCATATATTTTTATAAACTTGTAAATATAAGATTATTCTTAGAAATAAACAGTCAAATAAAATAATATTCAATTCTTGAGAAAAAAGAGAAACTATAAATCCACTTTCATATAGTTGGGATTTATTAAAATTCTAAAGATAACTTTTTAAAACAGCAAAAATTTCTGATAGATTATCAAATAATAGTAGTGTCAAGAGAAAAACAGTCTTTTTTGAAAAAATATTTTTGTGTTTGTACATATATTAAACATTGCTAAAACCTTAGTCCTGGCTTGTGTCAATGGGTTTGTTATTGATTGAAGCAGTACCAGCGAGAGGGAGGGAATGGTTCAAAATGGATCTCTGCTATCTTGTCATCTCCTCTCTGTTTGGCTGTATCGCATGCATCACATTTATATAAGAAAGTTTGGGAATCGCTAACATTCATTTATTACATGTTTTTCAATAAGATATTCATGACATTCTTTTGTTTAGTAACGGATGATCTTTTTTGGAATGCAGTCAGACCAAACCCCTGGTCTGAATTTTGGTAACTAATAGTATTTTGCATAAATATAGCAAGAATTCTCCCTTGGAATTTGGGAAATTTGTTGGAGAAGATTTAACTTTACTAAATCTTAATGAATTGTACTTGGTTTATTTCAGGTTCAAATTTTCTTACAGCCTTCTCCAAATTCACTTCTAATTTTAATCTATTATATTTTTCTTTATTCTCCTTGACACATAATTATTTTCCCTGAGTTTTTCACTGTTTAATCTTAATTAACTCCTGCTTCAAATCATCATTAGGCATTCTCATGCAGTAAAACATATAAACATATAAATGTTTATATATCTGAACAATGTTGAGCAAATTAATGACAATTTTTCCACTTTATCATTAATTTGCCTAATACCTCTTCCTGCAGTAAAATGTTGAACCAATATTAACACCTTGTTATAATATTGCTAGCAAACAAAGGTAATCCAATAGTGATGATGAGCAAGAAGGAATACTCAGAAAACTTGGTTATCCCAGTTGGGAATGATAACTATAGTGAAATAAAATTAGATCAGACCCTGAAAACCAAGAGAAATTGTCACAGATTTTGAGCACAAACAAGGATTAATTTAGAGTGAATGAATCAATGAAAAAAAATAAAGATTTACTTAATCTTGATATCTATGCATACACACATACAAAATTGTGCTGAATTACTACCTCCTCAGGTTCTATGAGTTTGAACTCTAGGCCTCGACCAGTCCAAGCAATGAAAGTAGAATTATTTGGGTCATCTAATAGGGATACAAGGAACTGCCAAAGTTGCAGAGTGCCACGACGCTGACAAGTTGTTGATATGGTGGCCGGATAGGTTGTTACCATGGCGGCAGCAGCAACAGAGGCTTCTCGCAGGTATTTGTCTGTGCAAGAGTCAGGGTAAGTGTCTCGAGTCAAATCAATGGTTCCTGTTCCTCCATTACTCCCTGAAAAATTAAGAAAATTGTATTTTTAAACTCAGTAACATGACATGTACAGATTTTCAATCAAGAATATTACATATTTTATTAATATTTGATAATCTTTTCTTTCTTTGTGAAATAATCCTACTTTAATGTAATTGAAACAAGTGCCATTAACAAATGTATGGAAAATAAAAGTGAGCAACTCTATATTTTAAGCCTTTTCTATCTATATCCACAAATGCCAATTGAAAATATAACTGTTGCTTTTTTTAGAAACTATTAAAAATATACATAAATACTGCTGTATCAGGTGCGACATATACATTTATCCATTATTTATTTCATCATAAAATAAAAAGTTTTAGGTTTTGGTTAAAGATAGTTTACAAGTTGTTATATTTATCAACAATATGCTACATATATTTACAATTCAAAATAGCCACCCTTTATTTTCACAATAGTCCTTAATCTATTCTTAACTGAAGTGCATGACTTTTTCACCACCTCGTCGCTCAAACTGTATCACATCTGACACACTTGTGTATGAGATACGTGAAACATCACTCACCAATATGGGCCATATCCCAAAGTCCATAAAATTAATGTCAGGGCTTGATGAAGGCTAAATTGACACATCAAAAATTCATAGAAACGTCTCCTGCACTAGTTCTGTATCAAATTGGCCATGTGTGCAGGAGTTCCATTTTGAATGAAGACATAGTGACTTCCAAATGGGTCTGACAACACTGGCAAAACACCTCTCTCCAACATTTGCTGGTAAACTCTGCTGTTCACTTTTACTCCTTCTTCAATGAATATCAAGGGTAATTTCAAACCATCAAAAGCAACAGGAGCCCAAACCATGACAACAGTTGATTTCTGTCACTTGAAATGTGTTCTGACACTTTCCAGAATATTTTCTGGTGAGATGGCATAAACCCTATCATTTTGGCAGTTGACCAAAGCTCCCACAGTGAAAAACTTCTCATCCGATCAAATGAAACTTTTGTCAGCAGCACACTGCATCTCCACCCAGACTTTCTTCCCTCTGCCAAGCTGTTTTTACTTGGAGGCAATTGAGAGTAGCTATGTTCATTGAATCTTGTATGATTTTCATCTGTATCAGATGTCCCAACTTTTCACCAGACATGCATATATTGAAAACCCCATCAACTGCAGTAATCCTTTTTCAGCTTCCTTTTTTGACACTGTGCAGGGATTGAGGCAGGATGATAAAAATAGTGTTCTGAGAACATACACACACACATAGCTTAAACAAGATACTTCACTCACTTTTTAACTCACCAACAGAGTAAGTTCAATCACTTCTTTATTTTTTTCACAGAAACAATCATAAGAACATTCTTTGAATTTATACTTTCTTTCAAGAACATTCTCTATACAAAAAGTTCCCAATAGCATAAAAATTTCTTTCTCATTTTATTCCATTCTCTTGTTTGTCTATTTTCTCAATCAATTCAACCCTTGTATTTTTTTGTTTTGATTTCTCTTCACCCTCTTTTTGGTAGCTTCAGTGATTCTCCTAGTATGAACTGAATGGTTTCTTCCATAAATTGGGTTTGGTGAAGTTGTTTGCTCCTTTTGAAATTTCTTCCACACATTAAAAACTGTTTTTTCTGCAAATATTCAATTGCTTTATCAAATATTCAATTGCTTTATCACCTCACAATTCTTCATACCAGCCATTTGCAATATGAAAATTTAATCACATTCTATTTGTATATTTAGTTAAACTGTAAACAATAAAAAAAATATAATGTTAGGAAGTCTTATGAAAAATTTGAAAATATTTTTTATGAATAGGTATGTTTCCATCTATATTTAAATAATGAGTAAATATTTATGCTATACCTGGTATAAGGCTGTAGAGGAAAGCCATGACATGGTTTAAGCTTTAAAAAATACCAACAAAACCTTAAAGGTGATGGGAATGATGTAGAAGTTTATGCTATTCTTTATATTTTGAAAATATAAGCATTTAAGTACTGTGCATAACTTGGCAAAATAGTTTTATGGTGAATTAGTATCTAATGTGACTCAAAATAATAAATATTTATGAAATTCTGTTACACAATCATAATAATCAGGCAGCCAATAAGGTTTCCACTCACTAATAATAATAGTCTGCAATTAGTGCTCTATGGCAGGCGAACTGATTGACTAGAATAAAGGAGATTTTAAGCTAGTTTAAAATCAACTGTAGTAGATATTTATACTATAAAATACATGAACTTCAAATGAAATACTTTGTTCTCTAGTATAAGATCAAATTTTCTTTTATGGTTGAATATTGGGCTGCAGTATTCTCATCTAATCTTGAGTTAGAAGGTAGGATATTAAACACACTTCTCCATATTCATTTGAATTTTAAAAATTAATAAAATTTATAAGGGACTTTATTTTTTATATTAAGAATACTTCAATTTTCAGCTATAAATAAATAACTATGAAAATGTAAAAATTACTCGGTAAGAAATGTAATGTTCTTTTGCAACTTTTCAGAATATTGTGAATGCAAATGTGTAATGTGTTATTTTTCTAGCCTTAGTAACATGACCAAATTTGAAAGACTGGCCATAAGACTGACATTATAAGAATAATGGATTTTTAAAAGTTATTAACAGCAGGCATATTAACAGAAATGAAGTTTGGCTAAGATTACTCCAGTTTTGGGAGGGGTATTTGTGCTGATGATATAAACTATCAATATTTGTTTTTTGTGTCAGCTCTGAATCTTAAGGGTTTAATCTTAAACACATACATGTACAAGAAAACTTAAACTACAGGGTGATCCAAAAGTCTTGTTACCACCTACCAAAAAGTAATGAGAAAAATAAGTAATACAGTAATACAAAGTACATGTACTGGATTCACTTTATTCACTTTCATTGATGCTGTCATACATTGAGAAGGTCTGTATGAACTCCATCATTTTCATGGCACAAAATGATGTGATGCCATGTTCGGTGTGATATTTTACAAAGCTGTGCTTTGTTGATTGTTGCAAAGGCTCTCCGAATGGCATCCTTCAACTGATGGGTATTCTGGTATTGTTCATGTAAAACTCCCTCTTTGAGTTTCTGTGGCGGACATGAGACAGAACCTGGGACGAGCACAACTGGTCGTGACTTGCCTTGTCCCTGCCAAAAAAGAGCCCGTATTTGCTTAGCATGTAAAGCTACTGCATTTGAAATGAGGGAGAGAAAAAAGCACTTACCGCTCTGCCGTAATCCATCCTCGGCCAGATAACGTAAAAGAATGAGGGGGGACTGGCATCGCATTTTTATGCAATAACAATGCAATGCATTATGGGACATGGATCACATGAAGACGCAAGGGATTATGGGTACATGAACAATTATAAAAACAACTACTTTTTTCCGAGTCGGGAAGTTCTTCGAGGGACGTTCACGGTTGATGGCAAGAACGGGCAGTTAGTGTGATTTGGAGACAGAACTCAAGAAGGAACGACTCAAGTTTGAAATACCAGCTGGGAGAGCTTGAATTTACTCGCTGGTTACTGTTTTCTTCATTCACCTCAGTTTCACATGAACATATAACAACACTCCCACAGAGTGTTGTTATATTACCTAGGGATGACAAAACTTTCAGACCACTCTGTATATTAAAAATTATCATGGCTTGACCCTTGAAAATTATGTTAAGCCTAGATATCAGTCAAAATTTATAGAGAAATATCTTTCCATTTTTTCCAGGAATATTTGTTTTTGTTCAACTAGAACTGATTAATATTCATTGGTAAAATAGTCATTTTAAAATATTAGAATCAACCATTATTGCCTCTATAATTATTAAACTGACAGAAATAAACAAATTACTGGCCCAAAGTGATTATGATAAATGCAAAATCATGAAGAATATTGCTGACAAAATATTAATAGAGAAGAGGCATTCATTTTTAAGATTTTCAAGACAAAAAAAAATTGTTTTATATATTTACTAAATTGCTATTTTTTCAATTTGCCTGTTTTTCTTTTTTCATAGCAAAATTTAGGCATTTGAAAGAATATATTTTTATATTTATTGACATATAACAAATGCTGTTGACATGATTCATTTCTTACAGCTCATTTGAGCAGCAACACTAACAAAGATTTACTAAAAAATAATGATATAACAAGAATGACTTGTGACTCTAAAAAGGGATGATTGACAAAGTCTTCATGAAGTAGACAGTAGCAGAAGCTAAAAAAATTATACATGGATTTAAACAAATATTTAAAATCAAAAAGAAAAAGCTGTAAACCTTTCCCAATTTACCATTCACTGTGTGAAAGGAAAGGAATCTAAGCATAATGATCTGGAAAAATATTAAAATTCCTGTAAAACTGTCAGCAAGAAGAGAGAATATAGAAATGTTAGGCAGAAAAAAGTCAATAATTAAAAAAAAGAGACAGAGCTATTTAAAAAGAAAAGTGATAATAGCCTTTGGTAAATGAAGATATAATCCTCAAATATCTTCCATCAAATTGCAAATAGATATGTACATGAAATCAAAACAAATATTTATTAAAGGAAAGAAAGGACAAATATGATAAAAAGAACAAATCTTTTCTGTCTCAGTGACAAAGAAGATCTAATAAGACAAAAACATAAGAGTAACTATTTAGCAAACCAAAATCCTAACATAAAATATCTTGCATTTAGAAAGTAAATAAAACAGAAAAATAAAAGAAATAAAATATTTGTATCAATAAATGACAATTTGTTTCCTAACAGAAACAATTCTTTGTGCACAATTCCCCAAATACTTCTGTCCAATTAATGTTCAGAGAACTGTCGGCCACTGACAGCCATGTTTGAATTCTCTTAACTACATGAAAAATAAATAAATAAAGCCTAAAGTTGTACAAGCAGATTTTTCTGAAATAGTTAAAAAATGTGAGCAACTTGATTATTTCATATTATCACAGCTGGCTATCATCTGTTAGAAATAGGAAGAGATGGCTAATAATTAAGATAAACTTGATAGTGAATTG